CAAATACGCCACCGCCGTCACGGAGCGGCCTGCAAAAAACCGCAGCCACGGTCAGCGCCGAGACCGTGCAACTAAACAAAATCAACATGTCAGATTTTAGAAAGGAGCTAAAAACGATCAACGACCTGAGAGGCCTCGACAAAGAATCACCAATAAACATTCAGATGGACGTTCGTTACAACGCCATCTCAATTGCAAGCCGGCACAAGATGGGGCAGTCGGCATCGCAGGCAATCGGCTTGGCGATCGAGGATCACACAGACGACCATAAGATCATCGGAATGTATATGCAAAATAAGCTCTGTGCCCGAGGAGCATCGCTCAGAAAGCGAGGATATTCGATAACGTGTCCCGGGCACGTCGACTGTACTGCGAACATACCTAAGCATGCGCCGCTCTCGGAAAGAACTATAGGGCTGGAGATGGGACGCCAATTTGCAACGGAGAGACTCCTCATCAAACACGCAACAACCGACGGCGACGGAAGAGGAAGCGCGGGCATCGACGAAGCCATGAAGACTTTGGATCCATTGTGGAACGTCACCCGCCTGGCCGACACCATTCATCTCGGCCAGTCCCAATTCAAATCTGGCATGAAAGCGAAATTCAGCAGAGCAATGCTTGGGTGGGACAGATCGGCAGGCGAACGACAGATAGTGCAACGACTTATTAGCTCAGATATTAAGGCTAGATGTCACATTATAGTAAACGAATTGTTCAAGATCAGCTGTGGCAATACGGACTTAATAGTAAAGAAGCTGCCTCACCTCGTGCAATGCACAGTCGACTGCTATTCCGGCGATCATCGAAGTTGTCGGCGCCACTCCCTGGTCTGCTCAGGTGGTAGGTACAGGAACTGGCTGTCTACACGATCTTATTACCTGAGTAGCCTTAAGATCAAAGAATTTACCATGACCAACGAGGACAAGATTCTGCTGCAAAACATTCTGCAAATGAAATTAAGCGTTGCTGGCATAGAAAAAATGAAACTCAACACCAACACGCAGAGATGCGAGTCGAGCAATCGTGGTTTAAGCGCGTCGCTGCCGAAGAATGTCACCTTTTCAAAAACTGCGATCGGCCGCGCGCATTCGGCGGTCCACCGGCTGAACAACGGCATAGAGATGTCCGCCCACTTGAAAAATGATAACATTGTTAAAGTCCCACTCGGGAAGAGGCCATCGTTGGCGCTGCGACAGATGTCGATCGCCGCAACGTATTCAATGCGGTGCCGAAGAAAGCAGAGAGAAGCCGCCAAGCGCAAACGCATGCTCGCCGACGTGCGTGACCACATCAAGTATAAGCGATCTCAAAATTCCTCCGAATACATTAAGGATCAACTCGACACTGCCTATGCTGACCACAGCTACACAACGTAATTATTAGAATAAAAAGTTTATTAGGTTGTTAGTAAATTTTAGGGGATACTAGCCTGTGCTGCGGAGAAATGTGGTTTTCATCCCAGGTCAGTCGATCGGTCCAGCCTAGGGTTTCCCCACCTGTGTGCGGCGCATCATATGCTAGTAGTCTACTGCAAGTATAATTCATGCTTCGATTAACGAATCGTTAACGAAAGTAAACACGTCTCTCTGTCGGCATGCCCGATGCAGCTCATGAGTCTTCGGCATTCTCGCCGTTCGGAATTCTGCTGTGCAGTTTCTAAAATTATATGCTGATGTCTAATGCAATTTTTGTTGTGGCATAAATGTGAGCACTGTTCTCCTTTGGCAGGCCATACACCAAAATGGAGCCTGTACGCCAGTCTGTGTACTTTAACCGTTTGCCATTGTTGTTCGTGATTTTTTACACACACTACCCCATAGCCGGTTTGTGTTCGTGCTCCTGTAAATAAAATGCACTCGTTATTTTCAACACAAATCGCCGACTTATTCATTAGTTGTTCAAAAGCATTTTCTTCCCATGTCATGATGAATTTTGATTAAAAATCGCTATATGTGTCTTCAAAATAGCAGTAGGCATTCAGAGACAAGTGAACAGTAACAGGCCCGCACCAAAAAAAATTGAAAAATTGAAAAAAAATTTAATAGACAAATTTTTTTTGCGACCGACAGAGAACAGACCACTATTAAACTCTCCATAGGATCCTATACTTAAGAATTGAATTTTAGGAGCTGAAAATGAGTATTTCGCCGCTTTATCGGGCTCCAGTCGCAATATATAAAGCCTAGGTAAGCCATGTACTTCAGACGTGATGCACCCATTAAGTGTATCACATGGTGCTTGGATCCGGCGTTGTTAAAAAAAATATCGTCGGCCAGAAGTTTACTAACGACCACCAATTTGGCCTGAAACCAGTTCGCGCAGTCGAATGGGCCATACATTGAAGAATTTTTTTTAAAATTACCCAGTAACATCCACTCATCTCATTATGCATGTTCCATTGCCACACCACAATAGCCAGCCTAATAATGCAGCCACAAACGTCGCCGGTCCAGCCTTTTAGGTGCACGGACTGGTGGCACTACCGAATGGTCGCATAGATAGACGCCGTCAAATCTCGTAACCCTAACAGGGTAATGAACCGGAAGTGATTTAATAGTGGTCACGTGTCATGTATTAGGGTGAAGCAACAATAAACAATAGAGCAGGGCTTGTTAACTCAACATGACATCTTCAGTGACTGATATTACATGGTGTCACAAGTAATCAAGAACCATCCGCCAGTAACAACACGGAAAATATAGCTCGAAAGCAGGAAATTGGAGAGCAAGAATACATCTCTCCATCAGGAAGAGTATGTTGATAGAGCATACCGATTTAATCCGTATTCCTCATAATTCGTGCCGGATCAATCGTGTTGGATAGTCAACGCTACAGCTAAAGAAAAAAAATGGCGACCGGCGGGGCAATGCAATTCTAACAGCCGATGTTTAACTGGGGAGCCAGCGACACCTATAGTCGCGTTTTAAACAGCATGTAGAATTTACATTTAAGGGACAGCTTGCCAGTACAGATGACAAACATCGCACAGGATGGCTAGGCATGTGGATAGGACAATAATGTAGGGAAGTCTACAAAACGTTCATATGGGCTCAGGGCCAAGAAGACGACCACAAAGAAATTCTCAGGAAAATTGAAGAATATGTCCAACCTAGGAAAAACAAGCGAGTAGCGGGATTCAAGGCTCAAGAACGATCTCAGTCAGAAGGTGAAACGTTTGAGAATTTCGTCAAAGATCTGAGGATTCTATTGATGGACTGTGAATACACAGACCCGGATGACATTATGATTGACTTAATCATCAACGGCGTACGACACCGTAAAGCACAAGAACGTCTTCTAGATCGGGGACAAGAGCTCACTATAGCGAAGGCTATTGAGATAGGGCAGCGATTTGAGTTATCACAGAGCCAAATGAAAATGATGCATGGAGAAAAAATTCTCGCAGTCAAAACAAGGCGACACGTCAGTAACAGCTACAGGAAGAGACAACCCATACAGCAGATACAGTTTCAGGGTAAGGAACGAGATTCCGCACAAGAAGCGAGGTATAACCACAGTCATGCTAACAACTGCTCCAGCTGCGGCAGAGTTCACAATGAAGGAAAATGCCCGGCTAAAGGAACAGTCTGCACGTATTGTAAGAAACCGGATCACTGGCTAAAGATGTGTTGGAAAAGACTCCGCCAAGTCAGCGGTATACAAAGCGACTCCGCGCAAGAGAGTGAAGACTCAAATGACAGTGACGGCTTACTACACATCCACGCGACACAAGATGCGCAGGGACCAGTGAACACTCTCTCTAGTGACAAATGGCTAGTGCGCTTAAAGGTATACAACCACGACGTGCCGTTCAGAATAGACACAGGGTCAAAATGCTGCATTATAGTGAAACCACAGCTAGAAAGACTAGACTCTCTCGGTGAACGCATCAAGATGTCAGTCTTTCAGAAAACGCTCAAGTCTTATACAAATCACAAGTTCAAACCAGTAGGGATGGTTAACCTACCAGTGAAGTACAAAGAGATGCGCACAGTTTGAGATCGTCGACCTGAATCAGTAAAACATTATCAGCGGTGATGTTGCAGAGGCTGGGTCTGATACAGCGAGTAGATGCTGTCGGAGAATCCTCCGCACGTGAAGAAATAGCACGTGATTATCCTGCATTAGTGGAAACCGCAGGTACTCTGTTAGAAGAATACACTATAAAGGTTGGAGAAAGCGCAAAAGGTGTGTTCCATCCATCTCGCCGACTGGCAGCGGCAATAAAACCGTGTGCCATCGAGAAACTCAGAGAAATGGAAAGGAACGGATACATCGCGCCAGTGAGCGAACCAACAGAATGGGTCAACTCCATGGTAGTGTCACTCAGAAAAGACAAGGTCATGATGTGCATAGATCCAAAAGATCTAAACAAAGTCATAAAAAGGGAACATCACCCCATGAAAACAATAGACGATGTAATAGCATGCATACCAGATGCGACACTGCAACCAAGCACATCATGACGAAATATTTAGGCAAGTAGTTGAAGGGAAAACCCAGTACAATCTGAAGCTAAACTACGACAAGTGCAACATACGACAACCCAGTGTACTCCACATGAGGCACGTGATCACGCAAGAGGTCTACAGCCAGACTCAGAGAAGGTCAAAGCCATTGTCGAGATGCCAGCACCACGTGACAAGGAGGGAGTCCGCAGATTGTTTGGTCTGGCACAGTACCTAGCAAAATTTATTCCCAATCTAAGCCAAGTAGACGCACCACTGCGGAGCCTCCTGAAGTCAGATGTGACATTCGCATGGGAGCACGAACATGAAGACAGCTTCAAAGAGCTGAAACAGAAATGCAGTACATCTCCAGTACAAGCATTCTACGACGTAAACAAACCCGTGCACATTGAGTGCGATGCAAGCAAAGACGGGTTAGGTGCTGTGCTCATGCAGGAAGGTCGTGTTATTGCGTATGCGTCCCGTGCAATGACTGAAACTGAGAACTGAACTGAAATCGAGACGGAAATGTTGTCGATAGTGTACAGCATGACCAAGTTTCACTGCTATGTGTTCGGTAAGAAGACCAGTCCACAATGATCACAAACCGCTAGAACAGATATTCGCAAAACCACTACTGTCAGCTCCGATGAGAATTTAGAGAATGATGCTGAAATTACAGTGGTAAAAAATATCGCAGCAAAGATACTGCACAACGATACGAAGAGCGACGCAGCAGAGATAAGCTACCAGGCTGATAGAAACGCATTGAGCTTGCAACACCACCGTGCCATCTCGCTGCTTTTCGTCTACACACGAGACGATGGTTCCCGATGCATGGTCATGGAATACGGAGGAGAACGTAATCTGCAGCAGATCATCAATGCCCACGTGACCATTAGCTGCGAGCGAAGGCTAATGTTCGCTAGGCAAGTTGCATCGGCGCTCGAGTACATACACGGCGAGCACATTGCACATCTCGACATCAAGCCGGCTAACATCGCCGTGTCGGCAGACGACACGTGCAAGCTGACCGATTTCGGTTGTAGCCAAAAGTTGGGCGAAAATCTCACCGCTACGCAGGACAAGACGCTGCAGGGTACCACAATCTACAGAGCACCTGAGCTGCTGATGGGAGCTGACGTAACGCCGAAGGCCGACGTGTATTCCTTCGGCATGACGCTATGGCAAATGAAGAGCGGTCAGCAGCCATACACGGGAGAGGATCCGCACTCGGTAATCTACAGGGTAGTACGATTTCACTACAGACCGATGCAATGCAGTGACGTCGCCGCCGATTATTCGGAGATCTCTTACGATGCACTCGTTGCCAGCTGTTGGAACAAGGATGCGCACAGCCGCCCATCAGCGAAGTGCCTCGTGCACAGTTTATCAGACACGACGGACGTACATCAGTAGTCGCCTGATGCGCCAACGTCATCCTGAACGCACTATAGCGACGCCGACTTCTCAAAGCTGGCTGTGATTTCTCTACGAATGCTCATTGCATCTGCGTACGCACTTCAAAAGTGCTCTTATTCTGTTAAGTTTGTTGTGTTACGTTTATGAAAAATACAATTATTGAAAAGTACGATTACTTGTTCTATCGATGTATTTCTCTTGATCGTCTCCAAGCGTGATGAACTGAAATGCGGTAAATTAGCCAACACTGAAATGCCTATCAAACTAGTAGTATAAATCGCGTTGCATGAACTGCCTCAGACACACGTTAGGAAGGAAAAAACGAGAATACGACACATGCAAAACGAGAGCGGGCGCGCAAAATTGCATTGGGGAGAGGGTGGGCTGGAGGCGATCGTGGGCAGGCGGCCGGGTGCGAGACAGCGAGTTAACTTCTTTTCATGACTGAGACTTGGCTGGAGATTTCGCGTAGCCGAGCCAGCGACGAGATGCGTTAATTGAGTGGTGTTAACTTCTTTGTCACCCCTGCGGCTAGCCGGATAGCTGATTTATAAGACGATCAATCGCCTACCACGAGCAATGAATGACTTACAGCCGTCAACTTTGAATACTACAACTACGTGGATTTATCAAAATGAAGTACACGACATTTCACTCAAATGCGAACAAGGAAGTTCAGCTGCTGCAGAAGTTGGGACAGGGAGGATTCGGATACGTACATCTAGCGATGTACGCTGGAAAGAAAGTCGCAGCAAAGATACTGCACGACGATACGAAGAGCGACGCAGCAGAGATAAGCTACCAGGCTGAAAGAAACGCATTGGGCTTGCAACACCACCGTGTCATCTCGCTGCTTTTCGTCTACACACGAGACGATGGTTCCCGATGCATGGTCATGGAATACGGAGGAGAACGTAATCTGCAGCAGATCATCAATGCCCACGTGACCATTAGCTGCGAGCAAAGGCTAATGTTCGCCAGGCAAGTTGCATCGGCGCTCGAGTACATACACGGCGAGCACATTGCACATCTCGACATCAAGCCGGCTAACATCGTCGTGTCGTCAGACGACACGTGCAAGCTGACCGATTTCGGTTGTAGCCAAAAGTTGGGCGAAAATCTCACCGCTACGCAGGACAAGACGCTGCAGGGTACCACAATCTACAGAGCACCTGAGCTGCTGATGGGAGCTGACGTAACGCCGAAGGCCGACGTGTATTCGTTCGGCATGACGCTATGGCAAATGAAGAGCGGTCAGCAGCCATACACGGGAGAGGATCCGCACTCGGTAATCTACAGGGTAGTACAATTTCACTACAGACCGATGCAATGCAGTGATGTCGCTGCCGATTCTTCGGAGATCTCTTACGATGCACTCGTTGCCAGCTGTTGGAACAAGGATGCGCACAGCCGCCCATCAGCGAAGTGCCTCGTGCACAGTTTATCAGACACAACGGATGTACATCAGTAGTTGCCCAATGCGCCAACGTCATCCTGAACGCACTATAGCGACGCCGACTTCTCAAAGCTAGCTGTGATTTCACTACGAATGCTCATTGTATCTGCGTACGCACTTCAAAAGTGCTCTTATTCTGTTATGTTTTTTGTATTACGTTTATGAAAAATACAATTATTGAAAAGTACGATTACTTGTTCTATCGATGTATTTCTCTTGATTGTCTCCAAGCGTGATAAACTGAAATGCGTTAAATTAGCAAACACTGAAAAGCCTATCAAACTAGTAGTATAAATCGCGTCGCATTAACTGCCGCAAACACACGTTAGGAAGGAAAAAACGAGAATACGACACATGCAAAACGAGAGCGGGCGCGCGCGAAATTGCATGGGGAGAGGGTGGGCTGGAGGAGATCGTGGGCAGGCGGCCGGGTGCGAGACAGCGAGTTGACTTCTTTTCATGACCGAGACTTGGCTGGAGATTTCGCGTAGCCGAGCCAGCGACGAGACGCGTTAATTGAGTGGTGTTAGCTTCTTTGTCATCCCGGCGGCTAGCCCGATAGCTGCTATATAAGCGGATCAATCGTCTACGACGAGCAATGAATGACTTACAGCCGTCAACTTTGAATACTACAACTACGTGGATTTATCAAAATGAAGTACACGACATTTCACTCAAATGCAAACAAGGAAGTTCAGCTGCTGCAGAAGTTGTGACAGGGCGGATTCGGATATGTACATCTAGCGATGTACGCTGGAAAGAAAGTCGCAGCAAAGATACTGCACGACGATACGAAGAGCGATGCAGCAGAGATAAGCTACCAAGCGGAAAAACGCATTGAGCTTGCAACACCACCGTGTCATCTCGCTGCTTTTCGTCTACACACAAGACGATGGTTCGTGATGCATGGCCGACCGACGTGTATTCATTCGCTATGACGCTATGGCAAATGAAGAGCGGTCAGCAGCCATACACGGGAGAGGATCCGCACTCGGTAATCTACAGGGTAGTACGATTTCACTACAGACCGATGCAATGCAGTGATGTCGCCGCTGATTCTTCGGAAATCTCTGTCCAATTAAACAACCCACAATCAATACACAAACATAACAACAATCAAAATACAATAAGAAAACACATATGAAGCGTAGAAAACAAGTAACGATAAAGTTCTATTACAATACAGGTCAGAAACTCAACACATTTGGCAGTGAACATTTTAATATCGCTGCAATTACTCTCACTCTTGCTTCTTTTTGTGCTGTAACGTACGTGGCGTATGCGTGTACCGACACGCATTTCCGAAACCACGTTTCTAGACATGGGCTTCCTTATATCAGGAGCCTGAGTCTTACTCATAATCCCATTAACGCACACAGGGCCATTAGTACACACAGCACCGATGTGGCACCACCTGACAACCTTTGTCACTTCCACACATTATACATCATACATCATACATCATACAGCCAACAAAAATACACAAAACTGATACATCTTACATCATACATCATAAATCATACATCATACAGCCAACAAAAATACGCAAAACTGATTTTATATTTTCGATGAAATGTTTTAGACCTATCAAACTATAATTGAAGAATGTGTTTAGCAGTCTGACAATATATAGTGGAAACTTACCGTTACGACAACTTTAAGAAAACGATCACAAACTTATACATAAAGTTTTACGCAAAAAATTTCCGACACAAAGACCGTCACGGTCATAAGCATCTACTATAAAAAAAAAATTACACCGCGTACATAAAACAAAGAAAAAAAACAGTAAAAAATACACATTCCTGACGATGTCACACTTTCACGTCCTCTGTCTCTGGTCTGTCACCTTTCAACCTTGCCTTCTCCGTTCTGCTCTCCTCACTCACTCACTCACTCACTCACTCACTCACTCACTCACTCACACTCACACTCACACTCACACTCACACTCACACACACTCACACGA